CAATTCGTGATGTGGTCTCCCCAGAAACTCAAAGATGATTGCCACGTAGGGAAGACGGTTGAATTTTGCGAAGAAGTCCTTGGCTCACGGGCCTGCGACTCCGATGAAACAGTGCTAAGCTTTCGTCTGTACCATCGTTGCAGACATCATCAGAGCAGGAATCCATACTTCACGAAATAGAGCAAAGATATACTAAGCCGGATGTAACCCTAGTCGCTTTTTTATACACATAACTTCGCTATCTTAATGAGGCCTCCATGATTTGGTTGGCTATTCCAAACTTGCTCTACATGCTTGCAAGTGGGTGAGTTTACTTGCCGAACCGGAAGTGAGTTCGGTGTTTCCTTACACAGATAAATTAGTGTAAAATCATCTAATGTTTAATCATAGTTGGGTTTGTGTTTTCGTCTATTGCGTGTATGTAATGTTCATGTCATAGAAGGTGTGATAGTCCTAGCTAGACTCAAAGCTAATCCAGCCTCCTTCTCTTGTTCAATGGCTCCTCCTGAACTCTCTCTCCCTTTTCTTAAGCCTATCCAACAGCCACAAAAAGTTCCTACTCAGTTTTCTACATTCATTCCTGCTATTCAGGACGTTAGCTGTTTTGTTACGCTTTTACAAGAAGTCCCCGTAACCCGCAAGACGTTGTGTTTTGGACCAGTCTAGTGAATGTCTTGTATTCACTATGTGTTCAGCGAGCTCACATTTTTGGACCCATGAACTTTTAGAAGCGGGTTTGTGTACGCATAATCTTTTCTGGATTGGTTTGCAGGTCTCCACCCTATTGAAATTACTAAATAAGCACAAAACCTTGAAATAGCCTGATCTAGAAAGAACGTCCGAAAACCCTACAAACCATGGAGCTACCGAAAAAATTGTTCTGAACCCCCTGTTCTTCCGTAGATCACCCAACATTTCCATGCATCATTAAGATGGCGAAGTTAGGTTTATAAAAAGCAATTACGGCTACAGCCAGCCAATTTTGCTCTTGTGGTGTAGGATATTTTTGCTCTATTTCGTGAAATATGGATTCCTGCTCTGATGATGTCTGTCACAGTACAGACGGAAACTTTGCACAGTTTCATTAGGGTTGCAGGACGGTGAGCTAATAACTTCTGCGCACAATGCAACTGCCTTCCATAACTGCAATTCTCCTTCATTTTCCAGTGAGACCACATTACAAATTACTTACAACAAAATTTTCCTTCAAAATGGAAAGTCATATAAAAAGTTGAAATTATCACCAAGAGAATAAGTTTTGTCGACTTTTTAAGTTCACAATAGAATAGAATGGGTCTTTACCCTTTTTGGATGTTATGAACATCATAAATAAGGGTAAGTTATGAAGAGATGTTTATAGGAAGTCAGCGAATGTTGGCTCTTTTTTGAATTTTTTTAACACTGGTTACAAAATAAAGGTTGGAATTTTAAACTCAATGAGACTAGGGGATAGCAACCATTTGACTAAAGAGTTGAAACGGCTGGAAAATTTATTCCTGGATAATAGCTATCCATTGGGCCTAATTATTAATAATATCTCATTACTGAGGAATAAATTTTCAGACGGAGACTAGTTATTCAAGGACAGACAAGAGGACAGCTTTTCTCATGCCATAATTTTGCCGCCATGCCTTCTTTCAAAAAAGGTGTATGAATTAGTAAGAAAGTGAATGATAAAAACAGTGTTCAAAGAAATCATTACCCTTTCTTCTGTTATACCATCTTTTAAAAGAGAAATATGACCCATTATCAAGATCCGGCTGCTACAAGATGTCTGTTCATGTGGTCGATGTTATGCTGGTGTGGCATGCCGACCTATTCGGCAAAGATTGGGGGATCACAAAAATGCTTGTAAAGGAAGCTGAGTTCAAAGGTCAGAAGTGGCGGTGCGCCGATTGCCTATTTGCACAAATCTACAACCCACGCAGTCTCCGGTAGAACCAACTTATGTATCCCTTCCACTCGCCTCTTCAAACGAAATGAAAGGTACTCCAACCTCCTGAACAAGGTTGGATAAGGGTGAGATGATTTAAGGACAAAACACCAAATCAGTCTTTTACGTAAAATATAAATATTCTGAAGTAGTTCAGATATGATTCTTTTCATTTATGCGATATTCAAGCTTAAGTCGGTTGGCTGCATGGGCATTTTACACGAAATCATGACTACCATTGTGATTATATTTGGGACGTAAATACGATTTTAAGTATGATTAGTATGAACTCAAGGTGGAGCAATGAACAGTTATTTACTTTAAGAAAGAATATCTCAGGCGAAATGTGAATGCATCATCAAAAAATTCTACCTCCCGCAACAGAGACTCATCTAAACATGGTGGTATATTTAGGCGTCCAGTTGAGTGCTTGAGGAGGTAGTAGACATTAATGGCTAATCTTGGTTACACTTCACAACGAGGACTATCCCCAAGGCAGGGTTGACAGGGCTAAGAAGGGTAAGAGCGAGGGTTAGGTGAGAAGAGGCTGATATTTGGAACCACACCGTTTCACTAGGGCATGAGGAGAAAGAGAGCAAGAGAAAGAGAGAGAGAGGTGGAAGTGTGCAAGTAAGCATGTGAAACAGTGTATTTATGTGTACTTGTATGCCTGCATGTGTTCACCTCCTTCATAGGCTTTTTTGCCTTTCTGGCCGCTATTTCCGGGTCCTAAGTGTAGAATCGGCTTAAGGACATCCATGTCTTTTGTAAAAACGGTGGTTACAGACCAGATTACCTCAGCGACGGGCCGAAGCGGAAGGGGCAGGAGCCTCGGCGAGGGAAAGTGAAGGCGGAACCGACAAGCCAGTGAGGCTAGGTGTGTGTGTGTGTGTGAGAGAGAGAGAGAGAGATACTGAAGCACACGGCTCCGAACGGAAATTGGCTATTTTTTAGCCAGAATGCCATAACAGCTGATCCTGAGAGGGAGCTGTCGAGCCACACATACGCTGGGCGGTCAGGCCGACATGAGGTATGCAATTGCGTGTGGAAAACACCTGGTACGTAGACGGAAGTTGATTTGCTCATCGTGACCAGCCAAGCCAACCATCCCCTTCCACGCAGCACATGCACCACTCTTGCGCTCCGCCTTACCCTATCATAATGAATCATCTGGAAGGCCCTGTTCTTTTTTCCCGAATAAATCGCCCTTAGGAATGTTGCCCTGACCAGCATAGGCTCGACTGCTGTTGCCGTTATGGCAGACAGTCGAAGAGTGATCCCACTCACGAGGTGGGAGAATGACCAAATGGGCATAATCCGCTCGACGGGAGGTCACCGCGGCCAACATGGGCCCGGTACGGAAGTTGCCAACGTGCAAAGCAGGCCGGGTGCCCACATTAAGTGGTCTGCTGTACCATGGGGTCAATCAGTGAAAGGGCCATTCCATGTTGAATTGGCGCATGGGACTATCCAGACGCCAAAAGCAGGCCAACTTTAAGTATCCAGCCTATAGGCCGGTCTTCTTTTACAACCAACTTGCTCCGCACTGACGGCAACTTTTTGAAAGGTGAATCAAGATTAGTCTCGTTCCCTCCCTTCACCACGAACCACAAACCACTCCGCCAACAGATGAACACAAAAAGCAGCGATCAAAAAACAACCTTCATCCGGTGCAGAGACGAAGCGACCCTACAGGGGATGTGTGGCTCTAAAACTGTTTGTAAACGGAGTACATATAAAGAGTGGTTGGGAGTCGACATGATACCCTGAATGCCATTGTTATTAATACTTTCATCTCGTGCAAACTTGCCGGATGGAGAGATTGGTAGGTCGATCTTAAAAGAAGACGACTCTATTCCGCTGCTCCACAATCGTTTGGTTTCTCCACCACGTTTGGCTTGACTAAGTCCGTGAGTCAGTCTCTTATGATTCAAGTCAAGAAGACTCACCGGCTCTACCTTTCATGCTATACGTACGTGTGTATTAACTCTTGTTTGAGTCTGTACGTGTCTACGTCAGGGTAAGAAACTACATGCCGTAACTCAGATTACTTAAAAAAAGTCAAACCTCAGTCTAGGACCATCAAGCGCTATGACACAAGGGTTCGACGGCTATTGTGTAATCCCGAACCCATCATACCACCACGACAATGCGTCTAAGCGACTGCAGAATGTTGGGGATCAAGTTGGGGATAGGATCAAGCGGTGAATGTCAAACCTATTGTACTTACATTGGAAGCGAACAAGCATGTGCACAGCATTTCAACCATCGACACAGCCCCCGCGATTACAGGGCAGCATTCAAAGGAAGGATCTAATTCTGAAGCTTCTATTCCGAATATATATTTTGAATAAGCTGCTGCACGGCGTTTCTAGCCGAGATAAGCACTAAATATATTTTTTCTTTATAAGCTCGCCATTACTCGTCAAGTTGCAAGGCAAAGAGAATCAGTACAATTCATGAAATAAAGTGGATGAGGAGCAGCCTTCATTTAGGCAAAAGTGAGTAGAGCAACATCATTATGATGAAGTCCTAAGCCGGTTATAGCGGATAACTTATACTAATTAGACATGCGAGTTATAGTCACCCTGTTTCGTTTAAGGTGATAAAGGACTGGTAGTCGATTTTTCCCACAATGATGAGTAGACTCGGCATTTACATTGAATTTCACATAGCCTTGCCTTCACAAAAGGTGTTCTCATCCTGAGCGGACTGCAGTTTCGACCTCCCATAGGCCGAAAGCAAGACTATGCGAAATTCACCGGAAACGTCAGCTCTACTCACATCATTGTGGGAACATTCGACTACCAGTCCTTCATCACCTTAACCGGAATATGGCGAACACAACTCATATATCTGATTTACTGGTAGTCTTGAAAACTTAATCATTTAAACTAATTATTTATTTATTTATTTATTTTCATTAGTACTGGAGGGGAGATTGTTAACACTTGAATGAAAAAAGGAGCCGGAATCGTCTGGAATTTCGGGTGCTAATGTTTCTCGCCCACTTAAAGAAAGTTATTACACTCTGACTGCGAAGTTGTAGACCCGGTGTCCCCAGCTGGTTCTGCATCCGCCAAAAAGTCTCCTTAGCATCTTCGACGGGATTAAAACAAAAGAGCCGTTGATAAGATGTTTTGGCAGGCAAAAACAGTGATGCAATTGAGGACACACGTACGCTAATAGATGTTGAAACACAGGACTGCTGTGAAAATGAAATTATCTAAATTGGCCATCCCCAAATTGGACAACTAGCTATTGGAAACTGGCAGTCGGAATCTAAACTTGTAATATTAAGAAGTAGCCCATCCATGCGTTGGCCGAGGCGGCTGGGGTGGAAAGATAGTATCGCAGAGTTTTAGCCCTAAACCCAGGCAAAGGTAGTTGGTACGAGAATCTATTAAGAATCCACCAATGGAGAAAGCAGCAGCAGAATGAATAAATTTTTGTGACAACCAAATATTCATGTTATGACGAATTGAAAGAATATTGATATGTTAAAAAGCATGAAAGCATGAAAGTATGAAACTGGATTAAACTGACTTACTATAGCCCCGATAGATTTACTAATTCTGTCAATCTCATAAAGGATTGATCAATGTATCCTTGGATCACGACCAGCCTGGACATGGAAAGTTGGGATTTGGCAACTAATGCTTTAGTCCCTCTGCCTCCAGTGCAAAAAAAACAAGTCAAGATCGCTAAAAAATAATTTCGAGCATAGGTGGGTACCGAGTGTTTTGAAGACAAATTTGATCCCTTGATTTTAAATTTATTTGTTTAATTTGTGGGGATATTAAAAACGAAAGTAGTCAAGTGAGGATGATAACACCTGGCGTCCTGATAATCATGGCAAAACCAGTGATATTATTAATACTAATAATAATTGGCATCATATAAGTATACGAAAATGGACTATGAATACTGCTTCATAATTGCGATTTAATTTAAGCTTAATTTGGAGTCTTGTTCTGTATGGTCGGAAGTGTTTAGTTTGACTATGATGTTTGTGGATGGGTCGAACTCATTGCACACAAAGCCTCGCACTTGGATGAATAAAAGGGCAAGAGTTGTCTGGTCTGTTAAATGCATTGGGAGGTGGTGCCTCTAATGATAATCACATGAATCAGTCCAGGACAGGGAGGTCATTACCTACCCTTGATAGAATAACCTAGGTGCAGGAAATATACAAGTTAAGTTTGGGCAAATTCAATTACTGCCCAACAAAGAGAGCTATCACATAAAGTGTGTTGCTAAGACGCAAAAAATAAGCTCCTGACAGAAATGCTAAGAAAAGTTCACTATTTCAGAGTTGTGGGTTATGACATCAACAATTCAAACACTCGGCTTGGCATGCTAGATAGGATGGAAAGTATGTAAAATGTGGATTCTCCTGTGAATCAGAGGATAAATAGGATCACAGTGATGAAACTCCGAAAGTGAGGAGATAAGGTCTCCTGAAAGCGCTTTCAGCCGTCCATTGGTCAGTTGCTACTTATTACACGCAAATTCCTGCATGTATAAGGCTGCCGCTAAACGGTGTGATTTGGTTAAATGTGCTCGGATGCTAAAAATGAATCTAGCACTTCACTTAACTGTTAGGAACCTACTTTCATATCTGATTGCA